CCTCCAATGAATGAAAACAGTTATCTAATCTTCATTAGAAATCTTCACCTGCTACACATCAGCATGTTAGCATTGCATGTGTTGACGTTAACACACAGAAGCGGTACACGAATGAAACCACACTGAACAAAGAATAGCACATAGAAAGAAATATCAAAAACACAAGTACTGACATAAGAGTTAAAAGCAATAAATAACAAAGTAAAACAAAAGCGTGAAGCTCCAAAGCATCGGTAGTCTAAGTACATATGTTCTCTTTTTGTTTGAACATGTTCTGTAGGACTTTAAATTGGCAATCTTGAAGATTTTCACTTTAATAAATCTCTGTTGAGTCATTATCTATCACTGACAAAGGTAACAGAATGATGATTAAGCCGATGGCCCACTGATGAAAGTATTACAATATTTAGATATTTGCAGTACTACAAACCGGGTGTCTGTGGCCACAATCCCTGGAAGAAATGTTGTATTACAGTTTGTCTCCATCATATACACACAAATAATGGAACTATGCACACACGTCTGAAGACTCATGTATCAACAACAAGACTCATGACTGTTGAACTCTGAGCACAAATACATTGTTTTCACTCAAATAGTGATTATAAATCAAGTTTTAGGGTTGCCGCTTTTAGGAAAATGCAATTTCAACCGAATGAGGGAAATATGTATTTGTAAAAGATGTTTGAGCAGAGTTGAGGCCGATAAGAACGTGATTAGTTTTGCAGGAATTTGGTCATTAACTGTTGATGCACAAATCATCATGAGGGAGACAAGCCCTCTAGTAGTTGTCTAGATTTTAACTTCAAACCACAACAGTAGACCTCATTGTTGTGCCAGAAGAAAAGTCAGGGGGGCAACAGTCTTAATTCAATATGCAAGTTTATCATCTTTCAATGGAATCACATCATGATGAAATTATATATAGTTATTATAAAACTAAATTACGTCATCTAAACTGATAATAACCCAAATGTCCCAAAAAAATCATATTATTTTGCGCTGAAGTTCTTTAAAAAATACTTTTTATTTCTCAAGTATCTAATTCACACAAGAGTTTACAAAACCATGTGATTGTTTCATATTGACTATTTGTTTATTGAATTACCAGCTATATTGTGATATCCTGATAGAAGAGTTTGGCCATATTGCCGAGCCCGATCCTCTGGGGACCATGAATGTCTGTATAAAGTTTCCCAGCAATCCATACAATGAGACTTTAAGCTCCGTTTGATAAACCTTTTGTTTCTTTCTTTCTTACAGAATCTGCATATATCTTTAAAAGTGCCAGTGAAGCGCCACCGACTGCTTCACTTCAGAGTCTGGAGTCACACCATCACAAAGAGCGTGAGATCCAAAATGAGAAAGGAAACACGCTGGAGGAAGGGAAAGTATGCCAACATTTGTGTTTTCATTACACTTTGCGGCCTTGAAGCTCATTTGGTTACAAACACTGACGTTGTCCTGTTGCCAGTTTTCAGTCCCTGCTGGGAGAAACATTACATTCTTCTACCGCCTTAAAAGGTCAACACACAGATGGCTTTTTGCACAAATATCAATATTGGTTTTAAACAGTTTAATGAATGATGCTTCATACAAAAGAAGAGAAGACAATGCCCCAACATGCGCTGAATAGACTGTGATGTGTGGTTTAAGCTTTGCTACAAGCCAAAGAGCCAGTCACCCACGCAACCAGCCAGGCAGCCTCTCATTGAATTGGTCAATCAGCCAATAGTCAGTTTACCGATCAACTAATCCAAAAAGCGGGAATGACAGCAACGCCACAAGAGACACAACTTGTTCAGGCTTTGCAGCTTAAAAAACACAGCCCGGCTTGTAGTTCAATAATACATGCTTGCTTGCAGCAATGCAATCTAATAGCTTTAATGGCAGCGCGCTGCACGGTGCACTGGTCTCAGCGGTGCTCGTAATGCATGGCTATTGTTTTTCAGCTTCCAGTAAGAACCATAAAACACACCATACTGCTCACGGCATTGGATGCATACTGAAGGCCTGGAATACATTACTAAAATAAGGTAAAATAAAAGGGAGGCTAACGATGGAAGGAATGATATTACATGCAGCGCTGAATATCATCTTTGTTCCACTTACACTAAACTAAATATAACTTAATTAGTTAGATGTTGTTTTGTTTTGTTTCTTTGAAGTAAGCTATTGTCTGTGCTATGCTATGCTAAGCTAATCGCTTGTAACTCAGCCAGAAAGTGAATACTCTCCTTCAAAAACAGCGCTAGAGTCACGACATGTTAGCCTAGTTTAGCATAAAGACTGGAGGTAGCGTAAAAATATCTAGCCTAGCGAAAGTTAAAAAATGCTTACCAAGAACTCTGCACTCAATGCACATTGAATATCTAACTTCTCACGTAACTCTTGTAAAGAAAGCACATATGTATGTTTCCAGAATTGTTTTTCCTTTAACGTACAAGAAGAGAAGCAGAAGATAAAAGGAGAGACATCTCGTGTCTTTAGAGTAGTGTCTGTTTAATCTACATGGTCTGAGGGAGACAAAAAGCCAAGTCACAGTAGCTAATAAGAGAGACAGAGAAGTGGGGGGGACTAAAATAAAGGCAGACTAATTGAGGTGATGTCATCCGAGGAGGATATTTTTTGCACCGTGATGCCAACGGCTCCTGGCAGAGCGTGTTGTAGATTTACCTTGAGTGAGCTCAGGATAGCTGATACCCTCCTGTTACACTATGCTAATGTCACCCTATACAGACACAATACTACAGCAACACGTTTCCCTCACCTGTTGCATTAACAGGCTCAAGTTTCAGCTTCAAGGTCAAACCTGCCTCCTCCATTCCTGGCCGCATGCTGTTCTGCTTCCTCGATGTCAGAATTCAAAGAGTTCTGCCTTGGATTCCTCTCAGTGTTTGATGAAAGGACGTCACTATGCAGTAGATCTATTACACTCCCAACATGCTGAAGAGGATCGATCCATCCTGATGCTTTTCAAAATCAATACTGGTGTCAAAGTTTCTGTGTAATGTAATTTACAATACTGGTGGAAACCACAGCAGATACACGAATAGAATTAATTACAAATCCATCGTCGTTTTCTGAGAAAACCCACAGTGAAGTATGAATATTCTGGAGCCACTAAGCCATATTTAAACTAAAGATGGAGACTGTCCTCACTGGAGAATTGTTCGCCATCGGTTTGAATTTTCACCGACAAATGATGACGTCTAACTATATCGATAGCGGAGGCTGAAGCATCATGACATTGTTAAAGGCGGTTGGGCGTGCTAAGCTCTGGGAGGCTATTGACGAGCAAATCATATTTTATAGTTGAATTTGAAGGACTCAAGGGAAGGTCCGATCTACTCGGTTTAGTGTTATAGCTCAAATTTGAACAAGAATTTTCAAAAAAATCTGGAAAAGAAAAGGAAGTGAATGCATGTTTCCAACGACTACTGGATCTCTTCAATGGACGTTTAAAGGACCAGTGCGTAGGATTTAGTGGCCTCTAGTGGTGGCCTTTAGGTAACGTAGAAACGCAAAGGGCCCTTTCTAGAGTCAGTGTTTGGTTTGTCCCTTCTAGGCTACTGTACTCTTGATTTACTCACTACGGCAAGTTTCCGTTATCACTTTTCTGCGATATTAGCATTTATTGAAAACCAACTTTTCCCTCTCGGCACAACATAAAAACTTTTTGTCATATTTAGATTTTTTTCTCTCCAGGTTTCTGTTTTCGGGAAATTGAAAATGCACATAAAACGCACTTAGTGACGACATCACGCGACTTAAGCCAAGAGTCATAACTATAACGACTATTATTATAACTACTACGTCCCTGACTTCCTGTGACCACGGGAAGTCACTGCTCTACCCATGTTGACCTGATGCTAATGAGGTCACTGGTATTGACTCTTTGTGACAGGTGGCTAACCCCGGACTAATAATGGCCTCGGGCTAGTCAGCACACACACACACACACACACACACACACACACCTCTACACACACACACACAAGCCCAAATGTCAGCTTGTACACACTCAGGCAAATGATTTTTGACCACAGGCCCAATCCCAATTAGTCAAATAAACACACGCAGGTCAACAAAGTTATTCAAACACCGAACGTCAACATGGACTTCAGCTGAGATGTTTCGTCTAAATGAAGCCGTCTCTGCACTGAGAGTGATTATCGATTACAAGTCAGACCTATTGATCACCTTGTATTCACGTGTGTGTGTGTCTTAACTTTGTCCTTGCATAATGACGCATGTACGCACACACACACGCACTTACGAACAACCCACCTCTAACCGCAGGGTGTGACTGCTGCTGATTTTTTTTTTGGGCTCCTTTTCACATTTCACATCAGAATATACAGAAAACACATTATTATAAATCAGCAGGAGAGATGAAACAGATGTGAGATTTTAAAGTGAGTTGACACAATGAAAAATGTTTTCATACAAGAAAGTTAACATAGAAACAGTGCAGGGGTGACTGAGGACAAGTCACACACACACACACACACACACAAGCATCCTATCAAAGTGGGGTGAACCTGAACATTAGGTTTTTATTGCAAAACAAATTGAAAGTGTGTATGAGAGAGAGGGTTTTTGTCTTAGCCAGTGGAAATATTTTGGAACAAGTGAACTGTCTCTTTCACATATTAATAGCAAAGCCGCTGCCTAAAATACCAATCTGCCCTCTATAGCTGAATCCTCTCGTCTTTTCTTTTCTTCCCCGTCCGTGAGCTCTGCTCATCCATCTTTCTCTGTCTTTTTCACCCCCCCCCCTTCCCAGTACTCCCAATGGGACCCCCTTCTCTTATCACACTGGGTGTGTATGTGCATGAATGTGTGTGTGTGTGTGTGTGAGGAGGCTGCAAAATGACAAAAGAGACTCCACTAGACCGACTCGTCTCAAGCACCCCCCCCCCCCCCATGTCAGCTCTCTTTCCTTTCCTCCATTACTTTCTTTTTTCTCTTTTTTCCTTCCTTTCCTCCTCCTCTACCTTTTTCTTCAATTCGCGGGAACGCTTCCTCGCCGCCTTCTTCTTCTCCTTCTCATCATCCACGGCGTTGATGTTCTCATCCGCCCTTTTCTTCAGCTGCGAGGCGGCGTGCGCCATGCTGCTCCGGTCCAATTAATCCTCACAGGTGGGAGAAGGCGGAGGGGAGGGAGGGACGGAGCCAAAGTCTGCTCTTTAGCCCGATTCTTCTCAGCTCCTAATTATCTTTTTGTTCCTCCTATATCCTCGGCTGGGCTTTTGTCAGAGAAGGAAGCCCTCACAGGTGTGTCAGAGGGAAATGCTTTTTGAGATTTCCCTTCAGTCTTTTGTTCCTTGTCCCCCTTAGCAGCACAGTGCAGATGCAGAGGACCAGTTTGAAGCAGGGCAGAGACAAGACATACTCCACCACTGTGAAGGCAGCTGCTTCCACTTCTCAGGGCGCAATGTGCAAAACAAGTGCCAGTTATAGCAAATACAAAATATATATACGCTCTGCAGTCTGGTGGAATTGTCTTCTTGATTAAAAAAAAAAGTTACACTCGAGCTCCAAGGATGGAGGTCCAAGAAGACGCTCAAGCTCCAGCCCCTTACCCCAGCAGAGTGCTCTGTCGTCTGGGTAAATAAACTAGTCCTGCTGCCTGCTAGACTGGTTCCCAGAGTTCGCTGCCTGCACCTGAGCACTGAGCCATCCTCTATGTACACACGTCTCGCCGGGACATATGAGGGAAATGACGATGGAAAGGAGGTTGAGATAGGAGGGGGAGGAGGAGGAGGAGGAGGAGGAGGAGGGAAGGGTGAGAAAGGAGGAGGCAGAGAGAGAGAGGTAGAGAGAGCAGCTGGGACAGCAGGAGAAAAAAAAAGAGGAGGCAGGAGGGGATGGATGAATACCTCTGCTTAGTACCAGCTGGTTGAGAGAAAAAGGGAGGATGATACTTCACACTGGATACTTACAGCGCACACACACACACACACACACACACACACACACAGTGCAGCCATGATGCTCCTGTTATGAAACTTCTTCCACTCAGCCTCTTCTCTGTCTTGAACTGTTCCACCCAAAACAAGAGCTGATGATGAATCCATCTCGCACCGAGCTAAATTTACTTTTATCACAGTTTTCCATAAAAAACATAAAATAGTAAGTCAGCACAAGAAACAAAATGTAATGTACTGATATATCAAACATATTCATACATTTGTTACCATCGAAACGTGATTATTTACATTTTTTATTATGCTCACTACTTCACAAACACATGCATCTTTGCTAAAAGATTTAAAACACTTCCTCATAAACGGTCTTGCACTACCAGTCCGAAGTGTTTAAAACAGTAAGCTTTAATAGAAGATGTGTTTGGGACGTACCGAGCATCCGTATAAATGAGACAGTTATGTGAGAGTTTGTAAACGGATGTCGTTTTTCTGTTGTTAAACGATGTCTTCATTTAACTTAATTCAAGATTTTTCTCCATTTTATTGTCGTCTTCATTTGCAGTGAAGGGATGCGAGAAAAACTTCAAGAATTCAAAGTAACATGGGGCGAGTACTTGATATACAAATGGTCGTTTTGTGGGCGAAGCGTTCCTTTTTTTCAGTTTCAGAAGTAAACGAGGAAGGTACACGCAGGCTGCTGTGAGCTGATGGATCAATTATTAAGATCGTAATGCATTATTCATAATAAATCGAAACACTCCGATATGAGAGAGTCATACCTTGAGGGGACGCCTGTATGATTTCTGTGCAATTAGCTACTTTCAAGAAGCATCAGCTCGAAATTAATGAGAAGCGAAGAAATTCAGAGTTGCCTGAGGAGACGAAAAGGATTTTGCATCAAAGCCTCGTGAACTAAAACCTGCAAACAATTAGAAATACCAAGATGTTCTTAGAAGATCTGTAATGTTTTCCTCGATGTCATTCACAGCTCGCAGTCAGTGTGTTCAGGACGGTGATCAATGCATCGCTGCACGTGTGTAACGTCTCATTGTGTCTCCAGTGTGTGTGTGTGTGTGTGTGTGTGTGCTGGTATGAGCTCATGTCGGTGGACTGCAGCCTTTGAATATTAACAACATGGGAGAGGGGATAGGATTGTGACAGAGACATGTGACAGCAGAGCAGGCCTCCTATTGGCTGTCTGGGATGAGCGAGAGCTGTCATTGGCTACTTGGAAAAGGGAGGTCCCACCCAAAAGATGACAATAACAAAGAGGAGAGGATGTCTCTGTACAAACAATCAGCATTTCTACTCTGATATTACGTTAAGTAACTACAGTTTTGAGCCTAAAATAGCTTATAGGACGTGACATTTGTTTTACTGTATGCCCGAGGATGATAATATCACAGGAAAAGTGGTAATGTTTGTGTTTGTAATCTTTAAGCGTAACAGCCAAGCTGCTCTACAGCTTGTGCCCCTGATATTTCCCTCTGATTGTGAGCCAGAGAGAGAATGAACACTTGGAGCGGACCTGAATGGCATTGACTGCAGCATCTGTAGGGAAACTTCAGACCTCCGAGTTGTCTGGAACGCAGCATCAGCTCAAAGCCCGGCTGTGTCTAACTAGACGAGCATGTCTGTAGACTCTGATCGTTGTTCAATGAAAAAGGCTTCTGTAAAGGTATTGCAAAAGATTGTTTTGGTAGTCGTATAAACTCAGGATATCAGCTCTAGTCTTAAAAAAAGTAATTTAGATGAGCTCAGTTTATTGTGACATGTGCAACAAACTTAAAAACACGACATAATCAAAGGGAAATGTCCCCGCACACCTACATCTGAAGCTTATCCCAGGTCAAACTGCAGTTACTGCAGCATAATAAATCACCAGTAAGAGAGTGATTTAAATGTAAAAGGGATTCATTGAACTAATTCTTCATTATCTGCATCTGTAAGAGCAGCTTATGATTTAAATGTACTATCTGTTAAAGGCTCTCAAGTCTGTCTTGAAACTGGGATTAACAGCAGGCGACTTCTCTCTACATGGATCAGGAATTTAAAACTAGCCTTACAAAAGATGATGCTAAAGGTTTAAGAGTTTGGCTGTCGGGTGGTGTCTTTGTGACACGACTACTTTAACCTCGTCTTCTGTGCATCTGCTCCGAGTGGAAACAGGAAACTCAGGAATAATGTCAGGCTCTGGATGTGGGTCAGCAGCAAAGATGCCAGTGAGCTGCAATATTTCTCTGCTCCTTTTCCTTCACCCTCTCTGGTCCCTTTCTCCTTCTCCGTTACATTTTTCTTTCATCAATCTTCCCGTCTCTCTGCTGCTGCTCTAACCAAAGCGAATGCTAACTACCGCCTGCAGCAAACTGCACACAGCTGTGAAACTGCAGTTAATCAAGTGGTGGTAAGCGTGTGTTGCAGACCTCCACAGAGTAGAAACAATGCAGCTCTATGGAAAGGTGAACACAGTGTGGCCCTCGAGGGGCAATCAGAGAATTGAGGCTCCTTTCATGTATGAAAACATGAATATAACAACATTGTGCAATTTTCAGAGTTAAACTGTTGATCTGCAACCATAATCAAAACAAAAAATCCTTTCTAATCTGCCTGAATTAGCATGATTTTTAATGATCGAATAATTTGTTGAGTATTATTATGAATCATTACAAAATGTCACAACTTTATCCAAGGCAACTAATCTTTAAGTGGCTTGTTTTGTTTGACCAATAGTATGAAACCTAAAGATATTTAATATACTGATACAAAATAGAGAAAAGCTCCAAACCTTCACATTCAAGAAGCTGGACACAGCTAGCATCAGTTAGCGCTATTGCTAAATAAATGACTTGGTGTAGCTCTACACTTGCACAAAAAACATGATCCTGTCAAAACTCAAACACGGAAAACAGCATTGATGGATGGAGGCTTTAAACACACACACACACACATCGTACGCAGACACCAGCTCGTATGTCGGCATCAATCCAAATGTGGACTGTTGGTTGTGTTTGTTTGTGACTAATGGATCAGGGATGGGCAGTAAACACCCAACGAGAGGAAGCGAACAAAGAGTGAGAGTGTGTTTATGCATGCCAGAAGGAGGGCCCCTCTGACATGAACCCTAACCCTAACCCTAACCCGAAGACACTCAAACAACCACAAAGACACAACATGACTACAAAGAGACATAAAGCAACTACAAAGAGACCCAAAATGATTACAAAGATACAGAAGATGACTACAATAAGACACAAATCAACTACACGGAGACAAATCCACGACAAAGAGACACAAAACAAACACAAAGACATACAAAACAACTGCTAAATAGGGAAAAACTACCACAGATGCAAAATAACTACAAAAAGGCCAAAATAATAATAATGACACAAAATTACCACAAAACCACAACAAATAAAGAGGCTTAACAACTTTAAAGTCTTCTTAAGTGAGTGAAAATGAAGTAATATTGGTCAAACTAATGTTGAAAAACAAAGAAATAAACACAAAGGTAATGGTACTGTATGGGACAAACACTTTGTAAACACAAACACTGATGTTTACGGTATTCTTTGGTGTCTGGCTCCCTCTAGTGGTGATCTAGGACTTGCACAGCTTTACAGAGCACGTCAAATTATCACACATAGGTATGAATGTGTACATACATTAATTATGTGCGTGTATATAATTGGGTAGTTGGGTGCAAAGCTATTTCAGCCCCTCAAGTTACAGCCCTAATAATTGCTGTATAATATAATATAATATAATGTAATATAATATAATATAATATAGGGAGAGTGAAATTAATGCACACACAGTAAATGTAAGTTTCCTGCCGCTCAGCTGAAATCAGTGCAATACAAGAGAATATTACGAGATACTAAAGTCTGTGTCAGTGTGCATGACTTTAAAGACGTGATGGCTTTTATTTAATGAAACTAAACATATGCTCTTTTTCTGATTCAGTACAACATGTAGTACATGCAGTTCACTCTCTGACCACTTAGAGGCAGCATGACACCAAGAGAACAGAGAATCACAGTTAGAGGTTTTTGAGCTGGTGTTACTTCAGTAAATGAGGCTTATTTTAGAGGAAATTCGGTGTCACTTTAGTTAACCATGAACATGTATCCTACAAACCAGCCAGGCTAGTTTTAATCTGATATCTACCTCCAGTTTGACTGCACCAATAAGACTGAAATATGACATTTTTAGGCACCAACCGCAGCAGTAAATTCATCTGAATTGAATTCGGCATGTGTTGCAGTTGGTGCTTATTTATAATGTAGAGCTCTGAACTGTTTCAATAAGTCTCTGCAGAGCACTAAAGACAGGAACAAGACACACAACCAGCAGCCATCTCTTATTATGGATAGATACGTTTTGTCCTCTTTTGTGTTACAACATTTCCCTCTTCATCATATAACATGTCCAGCATCTCCTGCTCTGTAGCAGTCGATAAAGCTTTTCTCTTTACATTTCTGTTTTCTTGATTTTGTGATCTGTGCTGGACATTTTGTTTTAATACCATGAATGTGCAGTTTTCTTGGCTTGAATCAGACAGATCCTTCTTTTTGTAACTTGGCTTCACGGAGCTTAATCCTGCGCGTTGTCAAGGCGTGTCAGGTAGTCCTGTATGTATATTGTGATTGTAGCAAAACAATTAAGATGAAACAGGATGTTATTTTACTATATTGTAAATGTTGCATCGTGGAAGTATCACTGGAAACAAAGAGGAAAAGCAAGCGCTGGGCATCTTTAGGGATCAAAGTTATTTTTGAGATTTGTTTCAGGCTGCGCAGAGCACCAGGTGGGTGACGATTACAACATCAGGACATTAGCGTCTTATTATCTGATGTTCCATTAACGTCAACCTCGTGGAATTACTTTAATGGGATTTTCTAGACTTTCAGGGACTCGTTGTGTAAGTACTATGTGGTAACAGTTTGGAGCTCAGTGAAATCAAAAACAACTTTTCCATCCGGTTGGTCAGATCTCATTTGCCGTGCATTATGACCCACCACAATATCCTGATTCAATAGGAAAGAACATCATTGTCATGCAATAAAGAGCCTCTCAACATGCGGCTTCGTTGTGATTCCAAGCTCCACTTAGAAGCTGAAGACATCATGTGTCAGTAATTGGTGTACTTCTTAACCCTGAATATCTAATAACAACTCCCAACAGAATATTGAGCATAAAGACAGGATGCTCTTCTTTGTAACAGTACAAACA